CTTATACAGCACTAGCTGGCGTGGCCCAACTTCTGCTGCTGCCAAGGGGGTCTCATTAGAAATGCAAGGGAAGCTGTGCTGAACTAGCTTCCTGGAAGTGCAAAAGTAGCACAACTGAGCCAATAGGGAATGGAGATTTCCTATTTAGTGTTGTTGGACGAGACAGCAGCTGGTAGGTGATCTGGCATGGGGTACGGTTTTCTTAAAAAATGAAATGATAAGCTAGACTCTCAAACTCTGGATGACTCTATTTCTGAGCTTTGTTTCTGAGCTGTTGTATGAGATCTGAAACCCTGAGCCTATAATGAGCCCAAACTGAAGGTAGTCTTCACCTTTCGTTCTAATAGCTAGGCCTGCACAGTGGCACTTTTCAGTATAACGCCTGTGTATTGCTTTCCTTAGTCTTGTCTGAGTTTAGGTCAAATATATGGTTAAAATATATGGTTGATCTTATGTTCAACCAGTCAGGAATCTCTGTTAAAGGAAAACTGAGATAATTTTAAATTCCTACTGGATTATGCCCCCAACACACACACACACACACACACAGGATAGATGTTTGGGATAGATGACCTAAGATTCCTTTCAACCCTGTCTGATTCTAGGGACATATCCTCCTTCTCATACCCTTGCCTGCCTTCTCACAATGCCCTTCACCCCTAATTTCCTCTCTGTCCGCTTTAAGTTTTCAATTCCTCATAATGAAGCAAAAATACAGGAATCCTGCAACACATGAGGCAGCACATACTGGGTGGGGTGACAGCACTCGGCGTATGCTCAGGCTCACCGTTCCAGCTGCTAATAGGACTTGGCTTTGAGGCTGGGCAGGGAGTAACATTAAGCTTCGCATCCCTTGCAACACTATCAGCCTGCCGATTGACTTCAGGAACTGAGTTACCAGAGATGGCAGTCCACGCTTCATTCAGAGGGACTCATCAGAAAGTTTTTTTTTTTTTGGGGGGGGGGGGGAGCATGGTAAAATCATTTCCCCGTTAAAATGGCAAGTGAACTGGTTTGCTTAATAAGGGAGCAATCCTATGCATGTGTAGACAGGGAAAAGGGCCTGCATTTCCCTGCCTGCAGCACTCACACCGGCGAGGACAGGCAGAGAGTTGTAGGCAACTTCTCTGCCTAGACATGCGTAGAATCGTGTCTTAATCATGTTTTAAGGGGCAGATAAGGAATGCGAATTTTCACTGTAGCCGATTAAAAAATAACTGGCTGGACATTGTCTGAGCGTGAGTATTTAAGGGCTGTATTTGCTGCTCAAGCCTGCAAAGGCATGAAATGCTAAGACGACTGATCAGGTGCAGAAAGTTGTCTGCCAATACTGGATGACCAGCAGAAAGCGAGGAAAGAAAGAAGAAAGGGACACTTCTACCTTCTGTAAGAAAAAGGGGCTCCAATCCAGGAGTCTTTTGTCTAATTTTTGCAAGATTCCCTCCCCTCCTGCCCCACAGCAGGGTCCTCTGGCTCTCTGTGTAGCTTGGAAGCTTTAGGGGCATTTCAATCAGCATGGCTGATGCAGTGTACATCTAGGTGCAACCCTGAGTCAGAATCTGAACTAGAGGATGGTGTGGTTCCTTTATTTAAATTTTATATCCGCTTTATCCTGCTGCTCAAGGCTGATTATGAAAGAAAATATTTTGCAAATGAGCTGACTGAATTCCCCACCACGATCCACATGTTAGAAACTGCTCAGTGTACTGAGGGGGGCATCTAGTGTCCATTCGTTGCCATTGCTTTGCAACCATGGCAGAATAACACAGGCAGAAATGCAGGATGCACCATGGGTCTGTCCTTCTCTACATGTCTGAAGCCAGCCTGAAAACTAAAGAACAAATCAAAGCCAACCGTACACGACCATTTCTGTGACTTATTTTCATCCAGCGTGTACCTCTTGCTCCAGCTGTAAATTCCAGCCATAAGGGACCTGCAACTGATCTCACGCAAAGTTCATCTTGCCTTTGTGTATATTTAGAGAGAAACTAGAGCTACTACCCTCAGATACTGACTGGGCAAGGATATGTATAAAAGGTGCCACTTGACTGTCAGCGAGGGCTTTATGCCCAAGTCCCCATGACTAAACTATGCAGCTGCTCATTAGAGCAGCCATTTAAAAATCTGCTGTCTGAAGGTCTCAAGCAAAAGAGTGATGCAAGAAGTCAGCTGCAATCAGCACTGGAATAAGAACTGCTCTTCATAAGATGATTTAAAGTGTGTGGGGGGGTACGGGGGGAGGCAGAAGGTAGATTGGTATCTACTGGTAGATCCTTGGTTGCTTTGCCATATTTTTAAGACTTTCTGACTCCCAGTTACCAGACGATAAAAGATACCTGCTACCCTCAACCTGAATTAAGCCTTTGAAATTAACAACTACTACTACTTGGGGTTAGCCAGGAAGAGATCTTTGTTTTGGGCTGTGCATATGCTCAGAAGCAGCCTGGCCTCAGCTCTAAGTCCATGAAGGCATTTCGAACTGTGAAGGCATTTTGAACTGAACTCTACTTGATGGATCTCATGAGTTCCAGAGTTAAAAAGTAGATCCCACAAGCCTAACATCTGGCCACAATCTAAAGCCCTTGCTTCTAAGACTGAATGCCGCACTTGCTTTCAGCACTACTGCTTTTAGCTCAGGAATATGACATCTAGATTTTAAACTTCCTGGGAGCAGGGAACTATGTAGCCTGTCTGTCTCTTTATGGTGCTGTTTACACTGAGGACATAACATAAAAATTAATGTTAATACAAAAGTGTAGGAATCCTGCAATAGAGGAGGAAAGCAGAAAGCATTCCACATGCTGAATTCACTATTTTATAAATCCCTGGTAATCAGAATAAGCTGGAACAGGCTCCGAAAGGACAGACCCTGGCCAGTGCCCAGAACAGGCACCTTCCACAACAGGGTTGAAGAAGCCCAGAGCTGGGGCCAAGTCCGCCCATCCCACAGCCCCATTCCAGTCGCTGGTTTCCCAGACAGCCATGCCTCCTTCCCTGGCCTCCACGTCAGTTGTCTGGTAGCTTCCCAGCTGTTGTTCGATTCTTCCTCCATGCTAAAAAGTTGAACAGCCCTTCCTGGCAGCAAGCAATTGAAGCTGCAACACGTCCGTATTTTGGCCTCAGCCCTTTGCCTTGGCCCACCCTGGGATGTAGCCTTCAAGAGTCGCTCTGAAATGCAATTCAGTCTTTGGGATGAAAGAGATTCCCCACATCTGGTCTACGTTAACAGAGCAGCCTTTCTCACTCCAGTGCCCTTCAGATGTGTTGGACTGCAACTCCCATCATTCCCAGGCAGCATCCTGACAAGCAGTGATGGTAGCTGCCATGTGACACAGCTGGAGAACCCCAGGTTGAGGAAGGCTGTAATGGAGTATCTTGGGTCTCTGAACCTATACCTGGGGCAGCATCTGGCAATGCAAGATCCCAGGTTGCCTTGCTGATCCACTGCGGGGAGCTGGGACGTGACTAATACAGCAACACTACACAACCCATGCTTGCTTCCAGGCATCTCACAGCAACCTTTCCCTCACCCATCCATGCCATCCCGCTAATTTGTAGCCAGTTGGGTTCCATCAAACACTGGCCAACATTTGGAAGGGAACAAAATGACAAGCACCAGAAAAAACCCACACACGCGCGCGCATCAACAGACTTAGAAGTGTTTATTTCCTTTTTGTAAAATCCTCCCACCCAGACAAAACGATTTAGGAAAGTTACAGCAAAGCGGGAATACTTGCTGATGAGAGAAAGAATGCAGGGGGCACCCTGTTTTGAAAGCTTCTGGTTCCAGAACAGCTGTAACTTTTAAGGGTCAGTTCAGTTCCCACATGTCCCCACGGAAGGGTGTGAAAACCCCACTGTATCCATGCTGAGCACAGAGCTGGGCTTTTGAGGGGCTTACCTGAGCATACTGCCATGTTTCTTGCCAGCCTCTGCCTCAGCAGAAGTCAGCCCTGTACCTTAGTGCGTGCACAGAAATCCTACCAGAAGTTGCATTCAGACAAGTCTTTTCTCACAGGTGCCCTGACACAGCAGCCTCCCAGCACAGTCTGCCTTGAAATACCATCGGATGGTAACTACCGAAGTGGGACAAGGCAGCGTACAAGCCCGCGTGCACACAGACAATTGCATCCAGCTTGTGCACAGGCAGCAGGGAACCCAGCTGGGCCCTGGGGCAGGAGGCGCAACAGCAGGTGTGTGTCAAGCCCACCCCTGGCCATGCTGTGTGCTCCTAGCATAGGAGCCCACCCACCAGTGGAGAGCGTTCTGCCCCGCAAAATGCCAAACTTTACTAAGCCGAGGATGCTTAGTTCTTTTCAGCCGGGGGAAAAACCAGGAACTTCAGAAGAAAATGCTGTGCCTGCCCCAATGACCGAGCCATGGATATAATCTGGGCTCAGCGATCAGGAGACATGAGGCAAGCACGGTTTGGCAAATAGGTAAGAACTCCATGGCTACACAGAAGCAACGAGGATACGCAAGCTTAGACAGAAGCAAGGCCTCCAACTCCAGCAGGACCGTAACCGCATGCAGGCAGTTGTGGCTCTAGTTTCTGCCTAAGCTTAGACAGGATCCCAGCTTACGTTAGACTACTTTGCAAGAGAAGACTCCTCTCCTTACCTTAGCTCAATGATTCATGCCAGAGATGGAAAGAAATACCCTAAAGCCTATTTCACTGCTGCTTTATTCTCAGAGGGCTGTCATTACAGAGCTCTCTCAGCTGTATCAGCAAACTGTTCCTCTAAGCTTCCATACCCACTCCAGAGAGAACATTCTACCCACAGCTCACACCTACCTGGAAGAATATGAAATCACTTCACAAAGCATTAGGGGAAGCCAGCCCATGCATGAATACAACAGCGGAACCAGCTGCCTGGAGAGGTGGTGGGCTCTCCCACACTAGACAGTCAAAAAGAAACTGGACAGCCATCTGGGTGGGATGGTGTAACGGGGTGTCCTGCAAGAGCAGGGGGTTGGACTCGATGGCCTTCATGGCCCCTTCCAACTCAACTATTCTATGATTCTATGAACCATGGGGTTCATGACAGCTTCTTGGGAGAATTTTCAAAAGCCCAGGCTGGCTTGTTATAAAAGACTGCATGATCTATGCCCATCTCCACCATCTAGATACTTCTGAACGTAGAACAAGCAAGAATCAAAACATTTGGCTACCCAAGCAAGGGGTGGGGTTCAGTCCCAGAGCTTTGCAAAGTGGTAACATAACCAGCTTTGTCTGTCATGTAATGTTTAAGCTACTATATGACAAAAACCTAGAGTCTTCATCAATGCAAACAACTGCCTCGAGTATTAGCCTCTTGGGTGGCGAAGGCATAGAAGGGCGAATGTCCACCACAAAGAACATAGGTGTGATTCTGGATTTTGAAGAAACCTTCTAGTTCATTTAGCTGCCACTGGGAAGCAACAAAGCATTTTTAAGATAACCATAAAAACAAAAAATAAATTAAGTGATTCTTTCAAAAATCCCGAGTTCCTTCTCTGCTGTTCCCCTCTTCCCACTCCCCAAAAACCATGCTCCGAAGTCCTGCAGTTCCTCATCCATCAGTGGCCAAAATTATGGCAGCTCCAAAGATTCCAACATTCTGCCCAATCAGTTTCATCTGGTTCCAGAATTCGACTCGACGTGAATCATGCCAGTAACTCAAGTTGCCATCGATGAAGAGAACCACCAGAGGAAGAATGACTGACAGGATCTGGGCAGCTATGGTGATGTAGTAGCCAGACAGGAAGGAGAGGGCAAGGACACCATAGAGAACGAAGAGGAGCTGCAAAGCAATTTCCCCACCCGGAATGCCACTGAGGTGGGCCAGTCGGTCTTCCTTGCTGTGCTGAAGCGAATAGGCCTGAAAAAGAAGGGAGGTAAAGTAAAAGGTGAAAAAAGTTGAGCTTGTTGCTTACATGGCAACTACATTATTCCAGCCTCCCTTATCTCTGTCCCAGTCCTCCTCATCTCCCTCCAAACACCATGTTGGCCAGTTTTGGGAACTCTGAACAAAACCCACGTAAAAGGATTTTCCCTTTTATTTTTATTCCATGTGGATCTTTGGCCATTCATAATGAAATCCAAGTGGACAAAAATATCTCCTTCCATGGTTTGCATCCAATCATTCCCTGGGTCAGACCTGTTACATCAGTCTTCTGCAACCTGGTTCCCTGCAGTTATGCCGGACTGCAACTCCCAGCATGCCCCAGCTGGAAAAGGACCATACGGGATTCTTCTGTATACATACCACACAAATGAGGTAGATGCCAATGAAAACCTGCCCAGTGGACTGTAGTGACCTGTTCCGTGGTTTCTGGCGGTAGATCTCCCCAGCACCACTTGCCAAGATCAAGAGGCCACCAATGATGGCTATTGTCCGTGAATACATCCTAACCTGCATGGGTGCCACAAGATGGACAAACAGGCTGATGAAAAGGAAACAAAACATGCAAATGCAACTACCACCAGGAATGCTGGTTTACTGCCTCAAATGCACTGTAAACATTTGGCTTTCAGCACAGCATCTTGGACACCCAGGTTTTTAAATAGCTAAAGTTACATTAGCACAAAGACAGAGCATCGTATAATCTTTTGTTGGTGGTTTTCTCAAAAATGAACACTATCAGTTTGGCTCAACACACAAATCTTAGCTTAATAGGCAAAGATATGCATAAGTCTTGTTTAGTTCCACCTCTCCCCACAACTGAAATTAATCAAAGAAGCCTTCCATTGACCAGGGCTTCCCATTTCATTTAAACCACTAAACTATGGATACCAGGTTGGAACATATTGGGAAACTCTGGTTAATCTAAGTCTTGGTGCATGGAAGAACAAAGGGCATGTGTGAGGATGAAGCAGGTGGGTGCATGGTTTCTGCATAACGCCTAATTTATTAAAACAGATTAGGCCTGAGCTTGATCAATGTCAGAAAGGAGCCAAGGAAAAAGAAGCCAAACTAGAGAGGCAAACTAGTAGATTGATTGTTTGCTGTGATCCCTGATCAATAAACACAGAAGTGGAAGAAACTCTGTGAAGCAGGGATGGAGGACTTCAGGCCCTCCAGGTATTCTTGGACTACAAATCCCATCAACCCTCAATGCTGGCAGGGACTGATGGTAGTTGAAGTCCAGTGGCATTTGGAGAGTCCCAAATGCACCCCCTTAAGAGTAATGTCAGCAACAAATATTTTAATTCTACGGTTAGCAGCACTTCAGAAGGTAACTTGTTCCCACCCCTGGACTGTGTCCACAAGCAGAAGCCCTTCCTATTGCTCACCTGTGTAAGACCCCCCACATATGAGCAAACCTCGGGATGTGACCAGAGGAGCCAAATTCAGTACAGGCACATCTTTAGCCAGCACACAGTTGTCAGTTTGTGAACCACACTGAGCTCACAAATGAACTGTGCATCCGTCTGATGCTTTCAGCTATGTCCTTCCAAATGCTAAAAGGAGCCTTCCTGAAGGATTTCCTTTTCTGCTGAGAAAAAATAGCGCTCACAGGGCATTTTGTGTGCATCCATTCCTGGCATCAGAATGCCTGACAATAAAAGCAACTTTTTCCCATCTTCAGTTGATGACTGAGTGATCCAGTTTCTAACCACTGAGGTCAAAGAAGACTGGCGCATGCTCAGACTTTATGCCCACCTTCTCTTCCTTTTAACGTTTTATCGCAATGTTCTGTTGACCACTTCCCCCACATACCAGAAATAGGATCTTTTAGCTACTGTGGTACAAACTAAAGCCCATGCCATGTCCATAGCAGCTTTCCCCAACCTGGCACTGTACTGATGAATTAAGAGTGCAATTCTATTCCGGTTTAACTACTGCTGGCTGGAGAATGTTGGGAGTTATAGGGTCTTTTTTGTCCTGACATACATAGGATTGTACCCTAAACTATGACGTTAAACATTTTTAGCCAGCATAACCATTGCTAGCCATTGATGGTTGGGGGAAGAGGGGGCAGTGGGTTGGAGAAGGCTAGTCCATAGTACCAACCCATACATGTCCTAAGGAGATCATTTCCCACAGAAGGGCTTAGTTACACAGTGCAGGTTTGGGAGGTGGTGGCTGAGAGGGAGCTGGGATGGGACAGAAAGTCAAAGAGACTCATTACTGCTTGACACACCAGACCTGGAGAATTAAAGAAACGCCTGGGATGTGACTCAGGGCAGACAAAATAGAAAAACACACAAATAACCTATGCAATGCATTGCCAGAGGAGGCTAGACTAGCCACTAGCTTCAATACTTTGAAAATTACAGGTGCAGCAACTATGGTCCTCCAGATAGTGCTCATCTGCAACTCCTTACCATTGTCCATTAGGACTAAGGCTGATGGGAGCTGGAGTCCAACGACTTCTCAAGGGTCAAATGTTTCTCCCCCCTGGTATAAATGAATTATGCATCACACAGAGCAGCTCTATCAAAACTAGCTCTCCACCAGGAAAAGCTAGAAAGGGACTCTCCATATGCCTGTGCTCACTCAGTTTTGGAACAGACAAACAATGGGGTTCTGTGCTCCCTTTCTGCACTACAGCAATTATAGCAGAGCAATCCAGCCAGAAACAGACTTTTGATTTGATTCAGCAAGAGCATTTTTACAGTCAAGGGTAAAACAGAGAGAGATTTTGCTCCTCATCTAAGCTTAGTACTTTTGTACACAAGGCTGTTAATCCACTGCATCTGCTTTTGGTTTCATCGGAGAATTGTGATCCAAGCACTATGCTAGGATCACTTCCTTTACTGCTTTTCCACTGCATAACCTCTAGGTACCATTGTTGTACATTGAAATTCTGCAAAAACAAAAGAAAATATGCTCCCTTTTGCTTTTACAATTAAGTGCCACATACAGAAGCTGCAAACAAGCACTGGTAGAGCATAATGAGCAGACAAGAAAGATCCCATGTAGAAAAAACCCCAGAGGCAAGAAGAAATCAGAATAGGGTGGGAACAAAGGTTATACAGGACATAATGCTGAGACATGGCAAGAAGAAAGGTTTGGGGAATTGATTTTTGACTCTGAAAATGACTTTTGGCATTGAACATTAATGCAGACTTTTGGCACACTGACTTCTAGTGTACGTAAGAAAGTCCAGAGGAAGGTTAGGCATGTGGTCTAAGGGCATGGAAAGGTCAAACTATTTACCCATCTACCCCAGGGCTGTCTATCCTGACTAGCAGCTGCTCTCCCATTATACAAGCAGATGCCATTTCCATCATCTACAATCTGTTTCTCTTTAAATGAAGAGGCCGAGCATGGAAATGTAGGCCTTCAGCATACAAATGGGAAAAAAAGTGAGTCAGAAGGGGACTTCTGGGCCATCTAGTCTGACCCCCGGCTCTAGCCAGCTCGGCTCATGTAATCTCCAACATGTGGTTGTCCATTCTTTCCTTGAAACCCCTCACTGATGGGGCCTCCACCACCTCCCTTGGCAGTCCATTCCATATCCTAGGGATCCTAACCATCAGGAAGTACTTCCTGGCATCCAACCTGAAGCCTTGTTCCTTGAGCTTTGCCCCACTGGAACGCATCCTGCCCTCCACTGCCAGAAAGAACAGGTCATGGCCCTCCTCCCCTATAAGTCACCAGGTAGCAGGCTACAGTGTGGTAGAGCCAGTGTGGTGTAGTGGTTAAGAGCGTGGGACTGGGGCTCAGGCGACCTGGGTTCTAGTCCCCGCTCAGCCATGAAGCCAACTAGGTGACTCTGGGCCAGTCAGACTCTCAGCCCAACCTACCTCACAGGGTTGTTGTTAAGATGGAGGAGGAGATGTAAGCTGCCTTGAGCCCTTTGTAGGAAAAAGACAAGATATAAATCCCAAAAATAAATAAATTAAATAAATAAAAATACAGTGCCTTCCCTTCCTTGTACCAAAGCCCCTGAGAATCCGTAAGCCAAGGACGTGCTCACCTTCAGCCAGTCTCCATAGTGCACGTGGCCTCCAACATATGCTGCATATGTGCTGATCGCCAACTGCAGGGCTGCCCCTAGGGCAAACCACCGGCGCTTCACCCCAAAGGACATGAAACTGGCACACAGCACTGCTGCACCCATATCGAAGTAGAGATATGGGACGGGGATGTCAGGTTTTCTGGGCAAGGAAATAAATTCAGAAAATCAAACCAAAAGGTCCTTCAAAGAAATGAATGCAGTAGAGCAGGGAGGGGGCAGAGAGTGAGCACTGTGTCTTTTATTCACAATTATTCTCCCTCAATACTAAGCCAATCAAAGTTTCTCCTTAACGACAGATGAAAAGCTACATCATTTTGAGTCCTAAATACAACATTATAAATCCATTGGAAATTCGATATCAAGTTATAGATGCTGTAGAATTCACTGCCACAAGATGCTATCTTGAGCAGCTCTAAACTTAGAGACTTTAAGAAGAAATGACATCAGTAATGCTCAGTGTCCCTGGACCTCCACCCCAAATGTTGCTACGTATGATACCTCACCTGTTTTCCTAAGAGTTCTATCACCACCTCTCTCCTCAACATACTAATTAAATTCAGTGGTACACTGTAGGAATGACAAGAAATGCACAGATTGACCAATTCAGAAACCTATTTGATCCTTTGATTATACTTCATGCTGGCTGGCAGCTTAGAGAATAATCTTATGGCCCCTAGAAAGTATCAAGTGCAATAGGATACTCTGGACTCCTGAGTCGGAAAGTGGGGACAGAGCTCCAAACTCAGAGTTGGGAATCCATGCCGTGATCCCCTTCCCCTTGTGGCTAGCAGAAAGAACCGTGCTGGCTGCCTCTCTACGGTCAGGAACGTGACCATGGAGAGGAGCAAAGGGAGCATTTGGGGCAGCGGGGGGGGGGGGCAGTGCAGAGGCAAGCATGCAACGCACCCTACATTCCCTGCTACTTCTTCCCCATTCCCAAAGTGCTCCAGCGAGATGGCAAAAAAACAGCAGTGGAAACTCTCCACTGCTCCTAGTCCCTTTGAATTCAGAGGCTTGAGGGCATCACAACTTGACTCCATCCTTACAAACCTGCTTGTAAACTTGCCTGTGGCAACTAAAAACCATCTCTAGGCAACCTGGTGTGAAAGTTTTGGAAAATGGAATCGAGTCTGTTTTTCCTTCCAGTTAACCCATGAGAATTAGCTAACAAAAAAACAAGAGTATCATAAAACCAAACGGATACAATAAAAATAACAAAGGAAGCAGCAAGAAAGTTCCAGAAACAAAACAATCATAAAACAGTAGCTAATTCTCCAAAGCATTGGAAGGAGGGGCATTTATCCTAATAAAAGACCATATGACATTGCAAGTCTGGGAGAACAGGTTGGATGGATTTTACCTGACAGATAAAAGATATTAATGGCAAAGTCAGATAAACATGCTTAGGGAAAACATTTCACACTTTTGGGGCCACTACAGAAAAGGCTCACAAATTTAAATTTTGAAGATCTTGACTAAAAGGAAAGTCATATGGGGCAACAGGTTCCTTCAGACACACTAAACTAGGGATAGGGAGTGGTGGCCTCCAGATGTTGTTGGATTGTTAGTCCCATCATTTTTCATCATTATACTGGTCATAGCTGGCAACCTAATCACATCTGGAGAACTAAACATTCTCCTTCACTGCCCTAGACTAAAAGTGTTGGGGAAATCGGCAATGGCCTCAAATATGTTAGAATTTCTAAGAATCCAGTCCTCAGATTCCACAGCAAATTGTACAGACCATTTTCTTTTACTTTCCCTAGTCTTACACAAGTGTATTTGTTGAAAATAAGAAAATAATTAACTAATGAGCAAAATGCAATTGCCTACAGTTCCCCATAGGCTAAAGCAGGAAAAATCTGAATTTGGGGGTATTTGCATATTTGCATTTGCGCAAAATCTACTTCCTCCAGAACAAGATAAGGCCCAGCAATCTGCAAGATGCAGAAAGAATGGATTTATCAACATGGACAGTCCCCAACTCTACACTCAGCACTAGTCCTCTCCTACTTCTGCACTCCAACAGAACTACTGCTCTCCCAGTGCCATACAGCCCCCTACCGGGCATCCCCAACGTCCCCACTTCACTATCTTCTCTAGTCAAACCTCTTTCCTCGTGGCCTTCCAGTCTCCTTAATACCCCAGTTCCGCCATCTCTCACCTTCAGAAGCACCCAAGACATTTTGTCATCGCATGCCACACTATCTCTGTTCCTCCCAATTTGGGCTCCCCATCCATTACTTTCTCTTCCCATACAGACCATCGCTTCAAGCCGAGGCGCCACCTCACTCCTCCATGTTGCAACCCCAGGGACGCACTGCCACCTGGCACCCATCCCTTCCCCAAAACTCCGAGGTGCGGGGGCTGAGCAGCAAGGCAGCTCTCGGTGCACCATGAGAAGCGCCCTCCACCTCTCACCAGCGTGCCGGTTGCGAGACGCCCCCACTCACCGGCGGGCCTCGGCGCGCTCGGCGTTGAGCAGGAGTCCGCTGAGGCAGTGCCAGAAAGGGAAACGCGTGAGCAGCACGGAGCCGAGCCGCATCAGCAGCCGCAGCACCCCACGCCGCCGCCGCTCGGAACCCCAGCTGCCAACTACCATCTTGCTGCAGGGCGGAACTTCTGGCGTTCCCGCGGCCGACAGCAGGCCCGCCCTTGGTCCGTCAGAGCGTCACTCCCCGTGCGGCTCGCTCCGAAAGTTCTCCGGGCGGGAGCTGTTCCAGTAGCGCGAACAGTTCCTGCTTTCTCTGTATTCTTGACTGAAATCAGTATACTTCTGCATTCAAGGCGCTACCTTTTATTTCCCCCCAAAATGTGAGTTTGCTGCCGCCTCATATTTGATTTTTCATCCCTTCCAGATGAAAGGGACGCGATTTACAGTTGAGGGCAGGCAGGAATTCAATAGATGAAGCTTGCTCCTCGCCCCAGCCTTGCATGCCTGAGCAGAGATGGCACCAGTCCAATCTGAACCACTCACGCAACTGCGGAAAGCATAAGCCTTTTATTGGTTCTTATTATTATCAAGACGGCCTTCGAGGTGCTTAAATCGAAAATCTGACACGGGTAGTGTTTTTACCCCATCCTCGGCCTAGGGCAAAGCATTCAGTGAGAGCAGGTGTAGCATCAGGGTTAAACAAGGGCAGCCTTCCCCAACTTGGGCCCTCCAAATGTTTTGGATGTCAACTCCTCTTAACCCCTATGGTCAGAAATGCTGTAGTCCAGAACATTTGGAGAGCATCAGGTCATGGAAGAATATGAAAGGGTGGCTGCAACAGTTTGGATTTGGGAAACGGAGACAAGCCGAGAAGGAAATGACTGAAATCATCCCAAGGAAGCTAGAAGGAAATGACAGAAAGGTTTGAGAGAGCAAAGGACCCTTGGGTGCCAGAATGTGCAGGAGTGAATGCTATTAGCAGGACCAAATTAGGCTGTGACAGCGGAGAGATGGGGGGTTTCAGAGCCCTTCGTCCGTGTAGCCCAAATCACGGCAGAGAAATAATACTACCACTGCCTGTGCCAAAAAGGGGAAAACTCTTATGGACTGTTTGCATGTTGATGCTGTTTTTACTAAGATTCTCATTCATGTCAGTATGCATACATTTCCACTTAGAATTAAGAGCAAGCTTTCAGCATAAAAATCAGGTGTTTTAACTGCAGGCCAGTACTATGTTTTTATTTTAGTTTAGAACAGAGATAGAGGGAACAGGAAGAGAAAATCTGTGCCTTTCAGAAGTTGTTTAGTTCCAACCCCCATAGCCTGGCAAAATCCAGAGGGCACCAGTTTCCCTACCCTTGTTCAAGAGGCTATTTTAGGTATAGTTCTATGCATGTTGGCTGGGGAATGCTTGGTGTTGTGCGACTTTATGTATAAATATGCATATGATTGCATTCTTAAATGTCTTAATAAATCAAACTAAATTACTGAATATCTTGCCCTATGCCTAGGTTGCAGTGCACACTTAAAACTTGAATCCGTTGAAATCCAATCACTGGGAATAGACAGAATATAGATATAGATACAAAGTAGCACAGAATTAAAATGGCTTCTAAATGACAATAATCAAAATAACTGGAAGAAAGATACCATGGTTCCCCACATTTCTTCTAAAGGCCACATTTTAATTACCCCATTCCTCTCAGTTCTTAGCCTCTTATGCTTTCATTAATTTGGTTTCAGTAGTTCATCTAAATTTATTTGACATGGCATTGTCTCAGTGAGGGTAAAAGCTAGAATAGTCTTTGATCTTAAAATACAAATGAATAGTATGATGTTCATTTGGAGTATATGTGTGTGTGTATAACTATTACAATTGACATTTTATTAACCCATTTCCTGTCAGAACCCATTTTAAATGAATAAAAATCTTGACATATCCAAGGCATCTAAAAACACCCAAATGTTCATGCACAAGATAGGAGGACCAGATGCAAATGATGTGATGAGCTGTCAATGCTTCCAACAGTTCATTGTCTGAGCAGTAAATGTTTTAATGGAAAATCAGCCTGGAATGGCAGACCCAGAAGAACAAAATTAAGGCACCCCATAGCATCAGCTGGGAGTGATGCAGTAAACCATAACATCTGCAGAACACAGTCCTGAAAAGCATCCAATTCTGAGACATTCTACGCAATTAAAACATCCCACGAGATACACATAATGCAATGCTGAGTGCAGATTCTGAACATCCCAGCTTCCAGATAAGGCTTCTATTGTGCAGTTGTCCAGCCTCATTCACCGAATTGTACAGGGGAAAGGAAGTTCAGGCAAGGCATGAATCTTTCTTCCATGTGATACTGCAGCCACACGAAGGCTTTGTAGGTCTGGATCTGTTTAGTTCCTGCATGGAAGATTACCTGGGAGTCCTATTTGCACTGCTTTGAATTCCATTATAGAAGAAAGGGAGGATACAAAATGCAATGATCAAAACATACATAGGATCCTGATAGCAGAGGTCAAATCAGGAGGCAGGATTAAGCAGCAGGCCAGAGATCAAGCCTAATCAGGCTCACAGAATTCAAGTATTCCGGAAGTCATGACCAAAGAGCATGTCATGACTAAGAAACAGAGGCAGGGATAGAAGAATAGACCACAGCTCAGAAAGATACTGGTGCTCAAGCAAAGGAAAACCCCAACAGGAAGTCCTTTTACACTCTCTCCTGGCCAATGGCCAGCCTGGGGTGGTAAGATCAGGCCATGACCTTCGGGCATTTCACTGAGAAGCTGCCCCTACAGATCTGCATCTCACCTTCTGGAGGGCCCAGATCCCAACAGTGCCTGACACCTGGCTGGTTGTATGCTAAGAAATGCGCACAAGGAATTCTGGGGGATCTAGACTGGATTTCCTTTCTGGAAAAAGGACACGCCAGGTCTTGAACCGTGTGTAAACAGCACAGATGTAAGGAGTATTCTCTTGAATAGCTCTCTACAGAAATCTCCAGCACTGTACTTACTCAGATGAGTATAAATAATATGATTAAGTGAGGAGAATGTTTTTTCCAGGCATGGGGCAGGGGATAAAGGAGAGATGAACTGGGGAAAAAATCAGATTCTAACTAAAATTTATTTTTAGACTCTCCAACCTTTATTATAGATGCTATTTCACTGAAAACTGAATAGTGTAATATGTTTAGCATGTTAATGCCTGTTGAATATTAAGGTGTAGATTTTTTAGAAAGCCACTGAAGCCAAATTTTCAATGTTAAGTTTGAGCACTTTTAAAAATCCAAATTTCTGACATTTTGCTGCACAGTGAATTAGCAGAACAGGTTCATATCCATTCCACTGTAGAATCTTGGAGCGAGAACATTAAATATTGAGTTAAGGTAGGGATTAAGAACCTCAAACCCAGCATCCACACCTGCACTACCTGGGGTCCAACGCTAGCCCATGGGGTTTGCCACATGGCCGTGCCTCCTTCCCTGGCCCCCAGCTCCTTTTCCTTAACCAGTGATGATTCGGCTCATTTTCTGAATGGTTGAAATGCCTCTTCTGAGGCTCAGTTCTTGGTAATAAATGCTTTAACATATGTTAGCATTCTCTGTATATTGGACATGCCCCTTTGCCTTTGGCCCCACCCACTGTTGGGACCCGGCCCTTGAGAGTGGCTCAGTTTGAATTCAATGCCAAGGCTCCACACAGCTCAACACCCCTGCTGGGGAGCAGCCTTCCTTCTGCCTCAGACACACTGTTTCATTGCCTGACCCAAGGGGTTTGTCCGCACAAGGCCGCTTATCCTGCCCTCACTTTTCCTCATTCCTGGAAATTCACAAGGCTCCAGATCACATTCACTTCCATTTGTAATCTTCATCTGTCTTCTCTTCCTGCCATTATTTCCATATTCCCTCTTCCCTCCATTTTGTACCTGCAAAAGAACCATTAAGGAGGAGAAGATAGAATAGATGCCCAATGCTTTTGATTGGTAGTACTAGGAGCTCTCCATCTTCAAGGCACTGTAGATGAGGATACAGTGTATTGTGGAGGCCCATTCCCAGGTACCCCAAACAAGCACATTGGAGCACCTGATCAGGCGACATAGGAATAGTTCAGTAAGCCACTGACCTCCAGAGAATCCAGCCGTTAAGCAATTGGCAACCTCATGCCCCAGTGAGCAACTTGTAGCCCTCCAGATGGTTTTGCCTACAAGACCCTTCAGCTCCAGCTACCACAGCCAGAGGTGAGGGGATTCGTAGGGCAAAATACGTAGAGAAACTCAAGTAGCTCACCGCTGGTATATAGGACTGCAGCCTTATTCTTAAAAAACATGAAAGAGAGAAGCCCAGAACTCTTAGTTCCAAGATATCCTCTCCAAACCAGGATGCAAATAATGCATTGGAACATCAGACCCCCAAGAATCTGACTTCTTTTGCCTGTTCTGACAGTACATAATGTCGAGAACAAGGCCCAAAGAAATGTTTTTTAAAGAGCCATCTGTCTGGAAGGACCCACGGGGAATATGGGCTCTGTAACAGTGGAGATCCATAAATCTAACGGCATCTCAAGGCCTTGCCGCTGAGTGCTTCAACATGTCAACAGGTAAGTCTGCCCTGTTTTTAAAGCTTCCCCTCCTCCCTCCAAATGAGCCTGTAATCCAGGCGCAGACATCCACCCAGCTACAACGAAGCTGTTTTGAATTTCTGCAGTTCCCACAGCAGTAACCTGGCAGGAGAGCCTTCATAAAGAGATCTTGCTTCCCTCCCTGTTTCAAGCTTCGCACCATTCTTGTTGAATTGCCAAGGGAGCACTTTTTAAAAACAAATGTACAAAGCGCTTTGCAATCTTTATCTGATCCGTCCTCACAACAACCCTGTGAGGTAGGCTACTACTCATCGGGGAAGGGAAAGGACAAGCAACTTGCCCAAAAGTCCACCCAGCAGGTCCATGGCTAAGGTGAGACTGGAACCCAGATCAGAGCCCTGCTCTTCAGGTACCGGACCACATTGCTCCCTCTTCAAAAGGCAGTCCCACTGTACATTCTGCTTCAGCCCCAGGAGAAACAAGGCCATCCTCTGCTTGGGTGATTCCTGACAAACATCCTCATATATACAACTCTCACCCATTTCTGATCTGTCTCTTCTGTGGCCAGTTAGTAGGTGTAGCCTTTCCCATAAGGCTGCCCCCCCAGATCTTGCAAGTAGGCGACACCTTCATCCAGGTGGGAGAGAGGCACCGTGTCTTCCTCACTGACGTGCCACTCGAATTCGGCCTTCAGGGACGGGCGCTGATTGTCAGGGAAGGCAAGGGAGAAGAGTGCTTCAGGCTCACAGACAAATTTGTACACATAACGCTCGCCAGCCACCTATCGCGGGGAGTGGAAAGAGAGAAAAACACAAGCTCTGCAGCAGATTCTTCTCAGCAAACCCCAAACCAAAGACCCAAAGTTACATGCATTCTAGTTGCCACACTATGTGGGTATGAGAGCTGTGTGGAAAACAGGTTTCTGGCTCTGTGTGGGCATGATGTGTGCACTGAGCAGGATTACTAGTGGGATCAATCCAAGATATTTAGTTGCCTGGGCAGAACATGAAAGGTTTCCCATTCCAACAGGGCCAATGCATTTGTTGTTCCACTCAGACCCAAATCCCTGCCCTTATCGCACAAACACACCACTCCCACGTGGTGCTGTCCTGAAGCAGCTGACTTCACTGCATGGTAATTCCTGCAGTCAGGAGGCAAGGCTGCGGGATTCGGCACAGCTCTTGGCCCCTTCCTGCGTCTCAAAGCAGCAGAACGTATTATGCAGAAGACTGAGCCCAACACAGCTGCAGGTTGCAGCATCTGGCCTTTTGGAGCACTGAATTGCAGCCCTGCCAATCACGGGTCCCCGTTTCCGGCAGTTTGGAGCAATCCCCTTCCTAGGGTCTCCAAACTGATATGACAACAGAGGATGCTAGGGCCCGGACATGGTGTGCCAAGGGTTCGAATCTATCCTTTTGGGGTTTCCCAGAGGACCACACCCACTTTCCCTCCCCCTGATCATTTGCTGATTATGCCATGCATTTGCTGCTCGTTTGCTGGCTTTGGTGCAGATTTCCCCCATCACTCCTAAAGGTCAAAGTGAATGCATTATACTAATGCAGTGAGTTCATTAATATAGTGGGAGCATTCATCTAAGATGTGCTGACAATGTTAGCCTCTGCTCTTGGCCCCACCCATCACTGGAAAGCAGGCTGCTAGAAGTTCTCCAAATAAGAATTCGGCCCACAGAATGAAAAAGATTTCACACCCCTGATCTAGCTGCATGTAAAGTCTTGGTTCTGTCAGAGAGTTATGGGCATGCTGGTTGTTCCATAACACGTAAACCTTCACTGCCCCATCGCCCATTCTTGGCAAGCTTAAATGGTGCAGGGCTAGCAAGCCGGTTCTAAAACCCACTTCCAGGTGGCAAAACCAACCTTTTGCATGATGCCTTTTTCATAGTAGTAACGAAGAGAGCGGCTCAGCTTGTCATAGTTCATGGCTGGGCGATTCTTCTGGATGCCCCAGAGTCGTGCCACCTGCAGGACCAAGCCAGAGTAGAAAGAGGAGGAGGAAAGAAACAATTCAGTGTTTAAAATGCAAGGCAGCCCCATCAAGGCCTTGGAGCCTAACCGAAACCAAAAAGGAACGCTCAGACATCATGGACCTGAGCAGGGTGCCTTCTTCAGAGCTTGCAAGTTAGAGACAGCCTCCGAATAAGTGCATGGAGCCATTTCCCTTTTAGCAACGGATGGCTGCAAATGTTCACAGTTCTGGCATTGACCTGGGGAAGTCGATTCTATTTAATGACTGCTATTCAAAATCCATGAAAGGTCATATACAATATTACAGTTCAAGAAGGGGAAACCTCACCTCTTCTGGTTCGATGAGCTTGAACTCCATGCCTCGACCTGTCCAGGCAATAAAATGGGCATTGCTAGGGTCATCCAGTAAAGCCACCAGGAACTGCCAAAGCTGCAGAGACCCCCGCCGCTGGTAAGGGGGGCCTTCGCGGAACCCACCACCTTCTTGCTTGATGTCCCCTGTCAAGTACAGAGAGCACAATGCAAAGAGAACGACACCACTGTTTCTCATTTTACGCCTTTTAATCATTCTTCCCAGTGCTTAATTTGTGAGACGAGAGATGCTTGTCCTTGCATCACATCCAGGAAACCAAAACCTAATTGCTAGGCCTGGCTTCCACATTCATAATTGGAGGAAAGGCCCTCTAAACAGGCTTACATATGCATTAGTATCATTGCACCCTCTAATGGCATCATCGGGGTGAGTGCCGACAGCTGTGGAGCTGAAAGGGGGCCAGGGAGAAACACGAGGGAGATTTTGCAGTCCTCCGTATCGTTGCACCAGTGCAAGGTAAGCTTTGCACCAGAACGTCCACACCAGAGACCCACATCACTGTGGAAAACTCCATGCACACTTGCGGGAAATTGAGGTGCACTGACAGCCAAAGGAATGAGGCGTTGATGTCCTGCTTGCGCACTTGCTGAAAGTGGCTGCTCAGCTGCAGTGGGAAAAGGCACCCTGAACTGCAACAGGTGGAGAATATGTGGCTTTCCAAGAGCCGCTGGACTACAGCTGCCATCATCCATGCTGACTGGCCATGTTGGCTAGGGCTGATAAGAGTCAAATATCAGGCGGAGGAACCCAGGTTTCTTAGGTCTAGACTAAGTGCTCCCTTGATCTATGTCGGCCTTCCCCAAATTGGCACCTTCCAGAAGTGTTGGATGACAATTCCCAGAATCCTCAAGCCAGGTGAAAACCAGGCTGGGGAAACACACACACACACAATTACAAACCAAGCTATCACAATCTGGATGTTAGATGTAGCATCTAAATGTTGAGATGCTGGACAAGGAAGATTTCAGGCTCGGGTGAGATGGAGTCGACAGGCTTTGATGAGGAGACTTGATTTCCTTTCCAGCAAAAGCCATTATTCAGGCATTGTATTGCCCTCTACTCTTAAATACCATGTATTTCCTGGGGATACATTTGGGTAATATGTTGGACTGTTCTTCATAGGGTGGGAAGCAACTATGTTCTGTGATTGCTATTTAGACCTCCTGGTTCACATTCAGTTTGGGGCTTCTTTTTAACAGAACTGAATTTATGCAAAATGCATTCTTAGCTCAAACATTCAACTTGTGGACAAGCCAGGATGGTCACAGAAGCAGCTTAAAGCCCAGCACGATTTCGTCTCTGACCTTCAAACTTCTCAGGGACAACACAAACGTCGTCAGTGAATGGCCGCATCTGCTTCTCATAGCTGTACCCTGCACACAGGAGAAACAGTCAGACATCGGTCCTGCAGTGGGACCGCACAACAGCTTCTCCTCCCTATAAATCCTCTGCTGTTGGATTCGTTTCCTTGGTGCAAGCAACTGGGGAGAGTTCTGCTTCTGAGGACTGCACTGTGCCAGGCATGAGCACAGCCCATAACAACACCACAAAGCTCAGGGGGAAACCATTTTTATTATTAGTTCATGTGTCCTCTGGCTGAACCCCGGCCACTGAGAACAAGCACTGGGCAGAGACTTCCCTGAACATATAAACCGGTCTGTTCTTAGTCACTGCACAGGTCTGCCATGGCCAGTCCTGAGTGGCAGCAGGTAACAGACCTCCCGCAAGCTCCTTGAAGCTGGAGAGAGAGGGGCTGAGCCAGGGGCCTTCAAACATGCAAGGCAGGCGCTCCACCATGGAGCTATGCTCCCCTTCCCTAGAATCCCATCTTTTTGCAAAGGGGAATCCAGACATGTCCCTCCCTGCAAAGCCCAAGAAAGAGTTCAATATCCAAGACCCAAAAAGAGTTCAAGCCCAACAACCCACAACCACCAAAACATACGCACAGCACTAAATAACTTAGGATGAGGATATCTGGCTGGCCACCTTCTCCTGTGTAGGTCAGGCCCTAAGATCTCCACAGGGGAGCGGGGGGTTGGCCCTTTTGCAACCAACAGAATGTTGCCGTGTTGCAGCATCTAAGAAGTCCTTTGCAGTTGTGGCATCCACTCTCTGGAAGACACCTGCATGTTGTTGGAGAGGCAGAAACTGTGACAAGCTTCAAATGCCTCTTCAAAACATATTTGTTCACATGGGCCTCCCCTGAGCTGTAAGAGACTGTAACCCAGCCCTGTTATTCTTGTCTTTGCAGTCATGTTTTAATTACTATATACTGTTTTATAATATATTATATATGCATTGTAAATTAACAGCACTTGAGGTGACATTGTATTAAACAGAACCAAACCATAGAAGCAAGCAAGCTAGTTATTCTGGATTGGATTCAGATTTAGGTATGTGTGACTGGGCTGGTGGAAACAGAATTCCTTGCCTCCCCCCCCCCCCCATGGTGGCCCCTCCAGGCCCCTAAAAAAGCTACACAGAGGGTTGGGGGGCACTGAATAGGGTAGGTTGTGGGGTGACCTTAATGGAAAATGCTTAAAAGTAGGTGGAGCTCCATTTATGGAAGGCTCCTCAACTCAGGTTTGGGAGATCTCCACTTTCCTCCACATCAGAACCTGCTCAGCAAGTTCCCCTTTCCCTCTGAAGTCTATTGGAGATGCTGCAAGGAGGGACAATTCCCTTTGGTCAGTTCCACTTCCCATGGTTAAATACTCTGACCGTCAGGAGGGCTTTGTTCATCTGGAAATGGCCATGAGAGAATCTTGGACCTTCTCTGCACAGAGCATATTTTTGTGCTTAGAGATGTGAAGCTCTGGATGGAGAACATGGGGGAAGGCCCACCCATTCTTCCCAAGGGATGTTTGGAAACATGGTGGGAGGAAGCAGGTTTTTCCCTAATTTTCCAGACAGGGTTTATGTTCCTCAGGGTTTCACACCTCTTCTCATGGCTTGTAATCTGTTTTCTCAAAGCAAAGTTCGACACCAACTCACATGGACCTTTCAGCACATATTGGTGGGGGACAAACAATCTACCCCCTGGTTTTCTGGCATGTCTAGATTGCTGTCCCAACCATCCCAAGTTGGATAGAACAGTGTAGTTGACATTAAAGGGCTTTGTCATGGAACCAGCCCCAGGAAAACACACACACTTCACCCTGGCTGAATGGCTGAAATGGGCCTAGAAGACCCAAGACATGATGTGCCGGACAAAGAAAACCAACCCTCCAGGAACTTCTTACCTAATGTGCCATCAGGGTTGGAATGACCTGGGAATCGTTCCATGTTCACATACATAGAATGGCAGCTCGGGACATCTATGAGACAGACCCAAAGAGCAGAAACAAGTTAGCAGGGCTGGTGGAGCTCCATCTGTGAAACACTATTCCTATGTTCACACACTGTATGAATACTTCGACACTCCATAACACTTGTGAGCAATTTTACCATTTTGTCCTTTGCTGACTCTAGATTTAGGAGGGTTAGCAGAAGAGAGTTGCAATCTCTTTCCCTACAGATAGATGGATATTGGTGTAAAAGATAACTGCTATTGGATTATTCCTCCCATACAATGAGCTGGTCTAACCAGATGATTATCTACAGGGTTTCTTTTCCCACAGTCATATAAGCTTATGCCCTGCTAACCAGGAACTGTGCATTCTGGATTTATTCTGAAAAGATCTGCCTAAATCCTTAAAAGTTCAACTGCAGAGTTAAAACATGTTTGGCACTCATTTGTCTTCATCTGCATGCCCATGATATTCACAATAAAGGCACAGATTTATTTAGCACTCAGCTCTGAAAAATTGGAGTTGGGGGACAGGTATTTATTTCGTATTTATAAGTTAAATGTTTATGAAGTTGGTGGAGACATCACAGATTAACTGCCATACTTCTTTTCCAAGCGGTTTATGGAGTTTACTGGACAGGTTGGAACAAGTCTGGAAAGACCTTTAAAAAGCTGTTCATGGGGGTTGCGGGAGAAGCAGGAGCTGGTTTTCTGCTTGGGCATCTCAGTTTCAGCCAGTCGCTTAGAAGTCATCACTATCTTCACATGCCCTGACTTTGTCTGGGCAGGAAGCCAAAGCCTCGCTTGTATTAGCAGCCAGTGCGCTGATCTCAGCTGTCCCATAAGGAGAGCATGAGCCGTGGTAATCCTACACCCGGAGCCTGGTTCCCGAGCCTCCATTTTGTGAATGGAATTCCTTTCCATTGCATTCAGGAACAGGCGGGTGGAGTGCCAAAACAACAGAGCGGGCGGGGCTTGGGGGGGGCGATGCCAAGTCAAGCTCTGGGGAGCAAAACATCAGTCTTGCCTGCTCCCTCGGCTAGAGTCTGAAGGTCACCAAATGTGCAAGCATTTCCCCCCTTCCCCGCAATAGCTGAATCCCCCAAACGACCTGAGGATGGAGGGCAGCAAAGAGAATGTTCAACTCGAGCATGGGGTGGATTTGAAGGAAATGGAAAAACCCACATGCTCAAGTCTCTAACTAGCTGTAGGAGTGTTAAATTCCTCTCTGCCCCCACCCCCTTCCGGCCATGCTTTCTGCAAACCTTGTAGAAAACAACTAAGCAAATGTTGCTCAGACTCCTGGGCAGTTGAACAGCAAACTAAGTATGAAAGCACAACTCAGTTTGATCCCACATCCAGTTTCTGGTGTTTAGGAGGCTGGCAGGAGCTCAGGAGTAACTACTGTGGAACTGAAAGAGAGGAGAATGCCCCCTGGAAGGCAGGTGAGCAACTTCTTTCTTTTTGGCCCTGGGCAGGGAGAGAGCAAGAGGTTTGGAGGAAGTTACAGCAGACTTCATCTGGGCCCTCACAAATGTCTGGAGCTGGCCCTGAATTGGATCTGAGTGAATCTGCAAGACTTCACACAAGCTAACAGTCCACAGTGACTTGTGCAAAAGCAGGGCAGGCTCATCTAAACATGCTTCAACAGAGCCCTTCTTCAGATACATAGACTGGTTTGCATGCCATGGTCAGCCACCACAGGTTAACTCCTACTTTGGCTGTAAAATGGGTGCTAGCCACTATTTTGAATACACAAGCTGAAACAGAGGAATGCTTTAGCAGGCTGGGTCATGCAAATTTAGGACTTGTTCTAGGGTTATCCAGGGGTTATTTCCACCATGAAAAAATCCACTATGCCCAGGTTCACACAACCAGTGCCAGTGCAGCCCCTCCATATTCAGAACGGCAGCTGGAGGGCATCTCAGAGTCCCACAGGTGAATTCACCGTGACGGCTCATTGGGATGTGCAAACCTTGCTCACTTGCCTATGCAGCTGAGCACAGAATCCTCCCCAGTTTTGATGCCTCCAGGCTGAGAAACAGAGCAAAACAGGGACTGCATCTCTGTCAAAACTTACATAGGTGTCTTTTTAAAAGTATTAAGCAATGCATAAATCTCCTAGTTGTTTACTTTTGCTTACTTAGAAAATTATTTTTGAATTGCTTATTGGCCTCTAAAGGGCTCCCAAGGCAACATCTGGTTTAAACTTTTGTATGGCTATCCTGAAGGAAAAAGATTCAAAGAATGTGTCTTTGGGGGAAGCAGCCTAAGCGGAAGAGTCTGCAAATGTTACCAAAGAAAGAATTCTGTCAGCACCAAAAGCGTGTATACTTGTGCATGAAGTTTGAGCCGTGTGTGTGTGTGTGTGTGTGTGTGTGTGTGTGTGTGTGTCTCCCCTAACTTGAGTGAGCAAAAAGCTGCTGCTTTAAATCTAAAAACAAATGTACTGTGTATTCTCAAAGGTAAGATTACAAAATAACTTTACTCTGACTAGAATTGCACACACACACCCCCCATTTAAAATTGCAAGGATTTTGACCAATGTGGCTTGGTGGCTTGTGCTCAAGATATTATGTTAAGAATCACATTCAGTGGTAATATTTTTTAAATGGGAGGCACAAGGACCAAATAATTTACAAACCATTCTTCCTTGTAGATAACTATTTAAGCCAGTTAGGGCACAGCTGGGAGTTGTAGGCCTTCTTTCTGTCTAAACATGCACAGGATCGCACCTTTAACAACCACAGCTTCTCTCCTCCCACTTCCACCAACCCCTTCCAGCATCCACAAAATGAAAGCTGAGAATTCTGTAAGAAAACCCCTTTCTTGCCACACCTTGCAATACTGCTGGCATTTCAGTTCCAGCCAAAGCCTGATTTCCTTTTGATTAGTGACGCAGTGGTACATTTCTGAAGGACGGAGGCTCATAGCTATGTCTCCAGGAAAGCCAAATCACTGAGAGAATAAGGGCTCCAGCAGTTTCCTTCTGCACCAGGAGCAGGTCTTTCAGAAAGCTGATGGGTCTTGTTTGTCTATTCAAGACGAAGGCTTGCAAAATACTTCCCATTGTAACATGGAACAATATATTGCTGTAAGAAAACCTCGTCCTCATCTAGCCAGCTGCTCTGAGGATTGCCATGAAACTCGGATGGAGCAGGGAAGTTTATGGGATAGCAGGGCAGATTGCTAACGCATTCCTGTTCAGCTCTGGTACTGCCTTTGATGCATCATGCACCTCTCAAAAGACTGCCGCATTTATGTGTAGGTACAGAGACAGATACATGTATAGTGAATTTCACCAAGGCAAGGCAAAAAACCTTAAATGAAAAAACACACAACATTCTTATACAAATTAATCACTTACAATGGATGTATATAAAATATATGTACATTATACATGTGTAAAATGGACATATAAATGTCCATTTTACTATGCTCTTGTGGAAAGAGCATAGTAAAATGGAAGGCGCAGAAAGCCATTGCAGTGTTAATTTAAATTTTATTATAACAAAGGTGGGCAGCTGATTGAACCTACCCTGGAAGTTTATTATAGTGAAGTGATTCTGCAAATGCTTTACGGGGCTGAAATTTGGGGGACTCACAGCACTACCAAAAATGTTGTGGAAATACTGCAGAACAACTTCTTTCTCAAATGTTGTCTCCCTCCCACGACCCGTTGTGCACAGAATTACTATAGCCATCAATCAGGACAAGAATAGACTATGCTAATTTACAGTATCTTAAATGAATTGCTCTTCTCTCTAATGAACATTTCCAGCTTTGTGCCATTTGGAAATGAATGAAAACCATATCTGGAAGGCAATGCTTCATAATTTGGTATCTAGCTATTATATTACTGATTTGAATAACATCTTTACTCTGGATAAGAGACAATTAGGGGACTGGTTTCTTTGGATAGACTCCTGAAAATACCTGCAATTAATGAAAAACTCTAAATCCTCTCAGTGATTTCCTCTTTTGAAAACAGAACATTATAGAGCTATCTGTCCAGATTGAGACCGTCCTCTTCAAGAAATGCCTTTATTGCATGACAATTTCAAGTTAGGCCAACTGCAGTTTTGGGTGGGTGATAGAACAAGGTGCCTTTTGAATGCATTTTATGTATCTGTGGAAGACACAGTACATCTTAATCTGTCCTTAATATACTGACCCGAGAGAGAGAGAGTCTTATCATATAGATGCAGGAATACCTTGGCAGAAACAATTCTTTTTCCTTTAAGTGATATTAGTAGTTATATGACACATAAAGTTTTGCTTTGCTTGCTTTTGCAGCAAAAAAGATCAGGAAGAGAGAATTAGACAAACTTGCTATAAACCGCACTTAAGATTCAGAGTTAAGTCAAAGATGAATTTCTGTTTGTAGCATATTTTAATCTATTTATACTGTTTGAAATTCTTCATTTTGTTGTCTATGTGCATTCATTCGATGTATTTGTCATAGCCTTTGATTAGTACGATAAACTTCAAACTACTACTAAAATATATGCATGTATAATAATACAGATCTCAGTATAAACAATATAAACATTTTAGGAAAGGGGGACCAAATATCTCTATATTTATCCATCTGCAAGTAGTGTCTAAATACTACCCATGTGAATATTGAAAGCCCTGTCAGATCCTCAGGCCGCTGTGTTACAGGAGGTGGGAATTTTTCTCACTCCAGGCTTGTAGTATCAATCTTTTAGCTTGATTTAGCAGACCGGTTGCACTGTCATATTTGATGGAACAGATAAGCCCTCATCAGGAGGAGACAGGAGGAAAAAATGGAGTCAGGCCTGCAGTGAGTGGCAGCCACCAACCGGCAGCAAATGTTCCCAGGACAATGGGAAAGGAAGGGACCCCCAGTGGGCTGGCTGGAAGAGTACTCAGTTTCTCAGGGTTGCCAACTTGCCAGTGACTTTCTTTGCAAACAATCTATTCCACCCAGGCTACATGCTTTTGAACATGTGCAGAGTTCTGTTCTGACTTCTAAACAAGTTAAGAGACGCGATAGTGAAGGATGACATACAAATGTTTTAAATAAATAAATAATCTAAGGGCAGAGAGCTTCTAAGCCTGTTTAGAGAGACCAAGTCAGAAGTCTGTGTATATGTTCCCTGTGTTCAAGGTAACCTTAGGTATACCTTGGGAGTCTTTTGACTGAGAAGTGGGGAGGAAGCATACATCAAATAATAAATAAAATCAATCCAGCAAACTTCTGTCCATGTCTATGCCAGAGGACACTTTAGCCAAAGCATCTTCAAACTCTGAGCTGGCCCTGGAAGTGCCATATCTGAAACAAGGACCCTGGTGCACCTGATCACCTGATCACACATACACGTGTTCCGGTCGGCCACTCTCCCATGTCCTACCTGTGTCAAAAGCATAGTCCATCTGCTCTTGCTTGATCGCCACTCCCGCGGTGTACCGGGAGCTGCCGGAGGCCCCCAGAGTGCTCGCCTGCTCGTACATGGGGTCCGGGAACTCCTGCTTGAAGCCCTGTGGCAGGTACGGCAGGCACGGGGCCGAGAGCGGGCGCTGGAATGCATGCGAGGCATCGGATCCCAAGGTTTGAGAGGCGGAGAAGGGCTGGCCCGTCTCGGTGTGTGGCTGGTACAATGAGCTAGGAGTGTAGAAAGACAGTAGAATCACGATGGAATTGCTGAACACCAAAGAACCGCCCAGCATCCTGGTAATCCCCCACTGGAAGAGGTGGCGGTGGGGTTATATCGGTGGAAACAAAGCAGAATTAATGGACAGCTGAAATGGGATGGCAAATAGGTCAGTTGTGCCCCTACCCCAAGTTTTATAATATTAAACCACTTTAGAAGGGATCCAACTTGCAGAAAAACAAGAGACTCTGGCGATACCTCAAAGGCTAGCAAATTTATTGTGGTGCGCGCCCCAAAGCTGGTGCAGGCCAGGTAGACCGGAGAGCAAGTCAATTTCAACTGGCAACAGCCATGCTACACGTTATTTTATTTTATTGTGTTGTTTTAATGATTGCAAGTCGTCCCAAGATGCTATGCATAAGGAATGGCATACAAAAGTTTTAAATAAATTTTCTATACCACCCAACAGCCAAAGTCCTCAGAGCCAGGGTGTCACGCTCTGACACATCTGGATTGAACTAGCTTGGGAAAGGTAGATTTTTTTTTTTTTTTAAAGTAAAGGATCTTACAGGCCACCATAATGCATCAAGAAAGAGAGAAAAGCTCTGAACCCACCAACCTTGCCCCATTCTGGGGCATCACTCCACCAAAACAAAACAATAAAATTCAGGGACATTCCAAGAGGCAAGGAGATCTCATTGCTAGAGCTGTGATGGGAAATTGTGGCCCTGTGTATCCCATGTGTCACTGCACAGGCACAAGAGATGTCGCAGTAGTGCAAACTACGGTCTGAACAACGAGCGAGAGGAGAATCCACTTATAGTGGAGCTTCTGCAACCACCTGCACTGAATTCTCCTGCACCCCACTGGGCGGCGGGTTGCGCAGTCCGCTTGCGCCAAGATGTGCATGCATGAAGGACAACCCTTTGTGCCACCTGAAAGTTTCAGGAGGACTCTGCTAGCCTATTTGACTCTGAGGAATGACACCACAGCATGCTGCCCACTGTTCGACTGCAGTTCCCATTAGCCCCAGTCAGCACACCAATGGGGATGATGGGGGTTGTAGTCCAAAACTTCGGGAGGACTGCATGTTTCCCATCCCCATGTGAGTGATGCCGAACATGATTGGCTCAGGAGCTGGTTACAGCGACGGGGCCAAACTTGTGGCCAACTCTCCCCCAGTGGCCACCAGAGCCCTCGTTGAAGCATATTCCGGGAGCCCCATGGGAGCCTTTTAGGCTCAGCAGCTGGCAGTCATGCTTGAGGGCAGTGGTGGCATGGTAGATGCTGCAGTGCAAGCACTCATCTTGACAGCCCCCATGGCCACACCACCAAAAATTCAGGAGCGTTCACACATCCAGGCACTGCAATCATCTATCACAACACCTTTCCTCCAGCTGTTCTCCTCTCCACCAGCAGCAGAGCTTTGGTAATCTTATATATCGCTTGTTCATCCGCAAGCCATCCCAGCATGTCTTTCCCCATACAGCGAGAAGAAACACTGTTGCTGGAGAAATTCAGGTGTGCGGATTGTGGAGAGGACAGGGAATTCTACAGGTGGGTGCGGGGCAGGGGGTGGGTGCAGGTGAGAGCTGCATCCCTGTGAGCCCAGGACCCAGACATGAGGAGGGGGCACAATCTTCCTGTGCTTCATTGATGCCTTGTATTGGTTTGCACCAAGTCTTCAGAATGGTGTGGGATACACTGCAAAATTATTCCTGCGCACTGCAATGGCTCACCTGTGTTCCATAAGGTATGCCCGGCCAGATGGAGCCTGGGGTGGGCCGTGGGGGCTCACAAAGGTGGACTCGTGCCTAGAAGAATGTGCAAGCATCAACTGTGGAAGGATATGCAGTTCTCTCACTCCCACCCATATCCTACCCCTTACCCAGGATCAAAGATAGATTCTGTTTATTTATCGTTATTCATACAAAGCAGCAAAGTCATTCTGCGGGTGGATCTTTATGTAGCCAGAATGGTACCATCCACACACGAGAGAGAGGAATCAAGAGGCTGGCAGGGTTTGCAGAAAGGCAAAACATCTTCGAGGCACACATCCAAAAACAGTTCTGTGGGGACCAAGCACAGCATCCAGGCCAACTACTGGTGTGAAGCACTGACAATAAGACCAAGGGATGAATGGAAAGGAGCATCTTTCAAATGGGTGTGGCTGGCCAGCAGGCATCCCAACCAGGTCCATATGTGGAGGGACAAAGAAACCATGGAGAGCTCTGAAGGCAAACACGAGGACGAGAGTAAGAAGCCTGACTGAGAATGCAAAGCAATCCCAGCTGAGATGCAGGATTGGATTGTAACCCCAAGGGAGGAGAAAAGAAGGCTTTGAACAATCCGTGTGAACACAGCGTTTCAGCAGAGTGGAAGGGCCAGATTTCTGCAGTGCCAGGTAAGGAATAGCAACATGGACAAGATTGTTCCAGGGATCCATTAGGAGATGGAGGAATCCAAGGCAAAGCCAAAACTGCTGGTAAAAGGGGAGGGCTGTGAGGTCAATGGATATGAAGGGGACAAAAGTTTGGGAGACTAACACAAGAAGTCTGATCAGCTGCCTGTACACTCTCAAGACAAACTTCTGGGATCATCCACTGAAACTGACACCAACCTGTTTGAAAAAAGCAAAGAGGAAGTTCTTTGCAGAGCCTGTAAGCAGCCTGCAGAACTCACTGCTGCAGGATGTTAAGATGAGTCTTTGCCATCAAGCCCTGAAGCTGTACTTCTGCAGTGACAGATCCAGAGATGGATCAAGGGGGTTTTTGTTGCATTGTTGGCACAAAAGGGTGCCCCCTAGCTAGCCACCCACTGGCACAGCACCTGAACATGGAGGATGAGCAAAGTTGGGATCTGCTCACCTCTGCTAAATGATGGCTTCCATGCATCTTCTATATCTGGAGCTTCCCTGTCCTCTGACCATATTCATAAAATCTAGGAGTTGGAACAGATCTTGGAGGTCATCTAAACCAACCCCCCACCCCACGCACACACACACTCCATGCAGGGGTCTTGCCCATACCTGAAAGCTGCCCATCCAGCTTCTGCTTAGATGCCTCCAGTGAAGGAGCGCCACCATCTCCTGCGGGAGTCTGTTCCACTGCTGAACAACCCCTACAGTTAGGAAGTTTCTTCCTACAGTTTCACTGAAAATGGCTTCCTTACAATTTCTGCCCTTGGTTCTTGTCTTTCCCTCTGAAGAACCAGAGAATGCCAGATCTATTTTCTATGCAGGAGCCATTCAAGTAAAACAGACTCTCTCCCCTTAATCGTCTCTTCGCCATACTCAGCTCTTTCGACAGTTCTTCATTAGACTCGGTTTCCACACTTTCTCACCATCCTGGTTGCTCTTCTCGGTGTGTTCCCCTACTTGTCAATGCCCTCCTTAAAGCATAACAGCCAGAACCATGCACAGCATTCCCAGTGTGGCCAGACCAGGACAGAATATTCTGGAATTGTGGCCTTTTGCAGGCATGTGAGGACTAAGAGGGACACAGAACATCTTTCAACCTGAAGGCGAAGTTCCCTTTCCAAGAAGGTCTTGGGAGCCTCTTTCATTGGTGGGCAGAGCAAAAAGGGTTTGGCCAAACTTGCCAGCATCATTTCCTTAAAGCTCTTGCTGATAGTGACTGAGGCTTAGGAGAGGGATTTCAACCTTTAGGGTGGGGAATAAATGCTGCAAAGGCCAGGAAGCACCAAATGATGGGCAATCAAGAGAAAAAGAAAGGGTGTGTGGCCAACTGGAGGACCTGCAAGCACCAGATGTGGCCCCCAAGCCTGAGGTTTTGCACCCCTGACGGAAAGGAGAGTGAGGAAGGAGGCATGGCATGCCAGATACACACAGAGATCCCCACATCTGCTGACACCAACCAGCTTGTTCCACCTTCACTGCACTGAGCAGTTGTTTACAGTCTTCAGCCCCAACCTGGCACCCCCCCCCCCAGATATTTAGGAGTTCATCTTGCTTCAGCCCTAGCCAGCACAGCCCTAGGAGTTTGGGGCCAAAACATCAGGAAGGTCCCAGGATGGAGAAACCTGGTCTAGAAGGTTCTACCTGAGTACAAGCACCTTTGGAACAAGAAGGTTTGGGGGCTCAAGAACCAGAAGCCAGTGGGAACAGGCCCCAAGGGTGTACCCTGACCCCCTTTATACACACCCTCTTAGCCCTATCATGCGAAGGCTGAACATCTGCATACAAGACATTGCTTCTTGGGATCTACAGAAGGTGGAGAAGGAAAAGAGGTATTTTTGATGATTTACCCAGTTTGCATCTCCTGGGGAAAATGGAACAGCTTAGCTCAGGCTAAATGTGCACACATGCATGGGGGTGGGGAAGAGCACACACACCAGCAACATAGCAATACAAAGTACTGAGTGTGGGGGGGGGGGACGTACTTTTTAAAACATGCACAAACAGAGAAACATTAGGAGCAACTCACACCAAAAAATGTAGGCTGTTCCGTACAGAGGAAAAGCAAAAATGCCAGCTCGCGTGGAAACGAAATAGATCGTGCTTAACCTTCAGTTCCCAACAAGCTTGGTCAGACCAAGCCTGACTGATCGGTCAACAGATGTGAAGGCTTGGAGGGGGGGCAGACAAGGGGGAATATTTCTATCCTCCAATTTGTTTTTCCAAAAAATCCCAATTTAGAAAAAAAAGTGGGGTTTGAATTTTTCCAGTTCCCAACCCCAATGGGGGTTTATCTGGGCAGGTTTTTTGCCCAGGTCTCCATTTCTCTATAGGAGTCCATTCCTAAGCAGAGGACCAAAGGAAGATGGTTTCTACTGAAACAGACCAATGGTCTCTCTAGTCTAGTAAGGTCATGGACCAGCAGGCTTCCAGGCAGGCTGCTTTCATAGCCCTACCTGCAAACATCAGGGCCTTCCGTGTTCAAAGCAAGTTCTCTGCCAGTGAGCCATGGTCCCCGGGCCCTGTGCTTCAGGCTAAACTATAGGGGATGTCCATAGAAACACTGGGCATCTCAGCTGGTTACTGACTGAAGACTGCCAAGGAGATGGTAGCCTCCCGTTCTGGACATCATGGCAATTCTGGCACCAGGTTATGAACACTGGGAAAGCTGCCAGGTGTGCCTCAAGTGACATCAGGTGAAACAAGCAGGACCGGACCTGCTGGATCGGACAGCCTTACCTGGCATAGAGACATTGCTCTCCGTTACGGTACTGAAAAGGTTGCCTGTGTCTGCAGGAGCCGGGAGCTTCCGAACATGGGCTCTGGGGTTCCTTTTTGATCTTAGCGGGGGGACTATGGAGGGCCACTGGAAAGAAGGGGGGAGATTAGGAGATCGAGGCACTCCACCTGCCGCTACAGACTGCCATAGGCAGGATTTGGCCACAGGGAAGGGGCAGAAAAGGTGGGGGAAGCCGCCCTCTCCCTCCCTCCCACCCAGCCGCCAAGGGGATGTGGGAGGCAACCTGTGCACTGCACGCTGCGTTGATAAGGAAAAGGAAGCAGGAGGGTGCCAGGGCTGCCTCGGACTGGGACACGGATCGAGCCTCCTCAGGGCAAGTCAGGCCCAGTTCTGCGTGACCCATATCTGGGGGTCCCGGCATCTTGGGTGGGGGCATGCACACACAGCAGGGGTGGCAAGTTTTCTTTCTTTCTTTCTTTCTTTTCCTTCCCTCCCCCCTTTCATTTTTCCTGTGAAGGACTGCATTCCCGCCAGGTGAATTTTGGAGGTGGGCGGGGCCAAAGCACGCAGTGGGTGGGGCTACCCCTTTCCTCTTTCCGCTGTTCCCATTGCTCTGACGCAAGAGAAGCGTCGATCAGCCCTGCCGGAGCTCCGCACTGATCTCATGCAGGAGGACTTCTGAATTAGCTCAGAGGCCAGAAGTTACCCATTCCTAGCGCAGAGAAGGTGTGCTCTTTGCATGCATGTGTCCCAGTGGTGCCTGTACCAGACCAGGGGTCAGAACCAGGCATAGTCACACCTAGCCCATAACTTTACTTTTAGAATGCGTGCTGTTGCATTTTTAAATCATCTGCTCTAATGATAGCTGTTGAGTTACCACTTTGAGGTACAATCCTATGCATGTTCGGACTGAAAAAGTCCTACACCTTACTAGCTGGGGAATGCTGGGAACTATAGGGCTTTTTTTCTTCTGCCTGAACATGCATATGATTTTGCCTTTACATGATGCATTTGTGTTGCTGCTTTTAAAGGAATGCCTTTTTGGTGTGCTTTATTACAGGGTTTTATTCTTGGTTGTATTGGTTTTCCTTTGATTGTGCGTCTCACGTTGAGACTTTCAGCTACAGGGCAACCCAACGACTGCAGAAACAGCAACAATAATAGACCCACTGAAATCAATGGGATAGATGTTACTCGTGACTAAACTAACTCCCTTTGATTGCAGAGAATCTGTTCTAAATACAACTACACTGAGATCTAACCCCATCTGTGCACACAGGCAAGCAAAATTAGGGTTCATGGCACCAGAAGAGAGGCCCAGCTGCTAGCAAAGGCTTGACTGCATACAGGGAAGAGCTATGAGCGAGCTATGCTTGGCCTGGAATGGGTCAGGGGGTATGCGGCCTGGGTGGGTAAATGCATAGCACAGCAGCAGCAAGGCCAGTGGGGTACGGGGGATCACGGCAGTACAGCCAGAAACCACAGGGGAGCCTTCCCCAGGCTCCTTCCGACGTGTTGGAAAGCAACGCCCTCATCCCCAGTCAGCAAGGCTGCTGCAGAGGCAACTGAACGTGTTTAAAACGTTTCTTAAGGTGCACTGAATGGCAATCATAAGGACCCACCACTTGTCCGCTATAACAGCGCCCTTGCTGTCAGCCAGAAAAACAGAATTTGGAAACGAGCTTCCTCCATAGAGAGCAATTGAGCAGAACAGCAGTGATTGGACCTTTTGCTGCCACAAGCAGAAAAAGTCATTCCAAAAGAGAGTTAGCTCATGTCCAGGCAAAGGGCCTGGAATATCCCATACAGTGCAACCCTACACATGTCTCCCGACATTAAACCACCATTGAAAAAGTGAGTCTAGGATTGCAGCTTGAAGAGCTCAAAGCTCCACAACCCCTGTGCCTTGAGCTCTGGGAGAAAGGCTTTAATAAAAAGTAAAACATAACTTGTTGAAATGATGAAGGCATATTTAAGGAAGTTTTCGAGCAAATTATTAGCCGGCCAGCAAAGCAAGCCCATGTGATGGGGCAGGGTTTAAATGTGGCAGAGGCACTAACACTTTCGAAGTTCTGGAGCCTCACACCACCCACGGTTCAAGATTGGGGCCGGAGCATTTGATCTTCCCCTTTCTCTTCTGCAAACTGGCATTTGTCTTCTCTTTCTTCCCATGGACAACACTGGAAGAAAAATAAACTACACCAGCTTAGGGCAAGCATAATTCCCAGCCCTTGTTTTGAGAGTCTAAAGGGACCAGGGGAGAATAAGTAGCTGCAGAGCTGTGCCCTCCCCAACTCACTGCTGGAGCACCTTGTTTTCCTGGCTCAGCTGATGGAGCAAAAGAAGGGGAGACCTCTGTAGAGGAAGGTCTCAGGCATCCTATGCCTCCTCCAGCTCCCCTTTCAGGGATAGGTCTGCACCTTAAGCGGCAACTATTTTAATAGATACTATATGTTGAGGTGGGGTAGGCAGAAATATGCATCTTTCTAACTATAGACCTGCCACAAAAACCTTCACTTTCTCAAATATTTGAGAGTCAATCTCTTTTCACAATCCAACATCAGCGTCCAAAAGGATAGAACCATTTTGGAGAACAGAACCATTGGCCAATGCTGGCTGGGAATTCTGGGAGTTGCTGTCCAACACATCTTGGCGGGGGGGGGGGGGTGCCCCATCGGGAAGCTGGTCCACAGGAAGGAACCAACATTCCGAATGAATAGCACCAGCAGCAGCAAAACAGTCACTAGTTAGCCATATTAGATAGATAACTACGAGAAAGGCAGCTGAGGACCGACTGTATTCTCACAGCTGCAACCTATGCAGAGACAGACAAGCCCATTGATTCAGTGCAAAGGATCAGGCGGTTACGGTATCTATCCTACGCCGGTCTATCCTCTCCACCTGATCTTTCCCGCCCTGCCTTCCCTTCCTGTCTGTCTCCCCAGTCACAGTACTTACAGTTCTCTGAATGGAAGTCAGGCACAAATTGTTCATCACTGTCCGGAACCTGAGCTGCAAAGTGAGAGAAATAAGGACCAGTGACATTTGGCATTCTGCTTTATTGAAGTCAGGAGAAGGTGAAAGCGGCTATACAAGAAATGAGGATGCATCACTGCCAGGAGACAAAAGCTGTTTTCCCCTTGGGACTCAATCACTTCTAACGTAATCTCTTCCCCAGGAGATTCGCCCATTAGCAGGGCTGGCTCTTTCCTTCTTTTTTTAGAAAGTGAGGAACTCGGCATTTAGTTTCCTTTTCCCTAATGTCCTACTGATAGCTAAATATTTCAGATCAAGTTAGAACAGAAGCACAGGGCCATCTGATACAAATGCCAACTTCAAAGCCACACGGACTAAGCCACTAGTCCTCACTGACCGAGCTAGGCATGAGCACAGAGAAAGGCAAACCAGACCAAGGGGTTAAAGAGCTCCAGATAACACGAGCAAGTGAGCTGAGCAACAACTTTCAGATTTTAGCACCTCATGCTGTGCATTCTAGATCTTTTATCACTCTCAAAGCTCCTGTCTAAATCATAGAATAGTAGGGTGGAAGGGGCCAAAAGGTCTTTGGGTCCAACCCCCGGCTGTTGCAGGTCACTGAGTTATACCATCCCACTCAGATGGCTGTCCAGTTTCTTTTTGAAAGTCTCTAGTGTGGGAGAGCCCACTACTTCTCTAGGCAACTGGTTGCTCTGTTTTACTGCTCTGACAGTGAGGAAACTCTTCCTGATATCTAGCCTGACTCTGGGTTGTCGCAACTGACTTGATTAGTCCATGCCCTACACTCTGGTACCAGTGAGAAGAGATCTGACCTTCCTCTTTGTGGCAGCCTTTGAGGTACTTATAGAGGGGTATCATACCCCCCTCAGTCTTCTCTTCTCAAGGCTGAACATGCCCAGTTCTCTCTGTCTCTCCTCATACTCCACTGTCTGAGTCCCTCTCAGAGTGCCAGCAGTTTGCATGTCTTATTTCTGCTGGCAAAGCATTTACTGTGGGGATTTCATCTTCACCAACTGCCTTCTGCCACTATAGATCAGGAATCTGCAACCTTAACAGAAAAATGTAATGATCAATGGAAATTTTACTATTTCATGTTCAGTATGACTAATGGGATTTGAGTTTTAAAAAAAGCAGTAGAGGGTTTGAGATGATTGGGATACAGATTAAAATTTTTTTTGATAAACTATCACAGAGTGTGGAAAAATAGAAAGATGGATTAATTTGGGGATTTGAATGTATAGGCTGTATTTGTCTAGAATTCCCTTTGCAACTTTGTTCATTTTAGTTTGCTGTGTCTATTTTAGTTTGCTTTGTCTATTTCATAATTCTTCTTATGCACTTGTTTATGTTAAGAAAATAAAACTTAAAAAAGGAATCTGCAACCTTTTTGGTCTGGAGGCCACATTTGGAATACTGAAAGCGTGTTGTGGGGTGCTCCCTCACAAAATGGCTTCCTTGACAGGGCTTGTTTGCCACTGGGGGCAGTGATGGCCACAAAACACCCGTTTCCCAGGTGGCAAACTGTGGAGTCTAAATGGAAAAGTCCAAGATACTAAGCCCAAGTCAGAGGTGAGGGCAGAGTTCCAAAGGGCTCTCCAGAATGCTCTCATATATGATATATATATGTGAACGTCCATATATGCCCTCCAGCCCCTTGACATCGGCGGCAGAAGCCCTTCTCCAGGAACCCTCCGTGAAGGATATTAGGAGGGTGAGTACCCCAAGGAGGGCCTTCTCTGCAGTGGCACCCCACCTATGGAATGCACTCCCCAGAGAGGTCCACCTGGCGCCATTGTTATTTGTTTTTCGGTGCCAGGCCAAGACCTTTTTATTTAAAAGTTATTTTAATTGTAAATTGTAAATTGCATTTATTTATTGGTTTTTATATTTATGCCGAGATGTCTCCGGATTTTTATGATTATTTGTATGATTGTTTATTTATTTGTTTTGTAAGCCGCCCCGAGGCTTTTTGCGAATGCGATGGCTTAGAAATGTCCTAAATAAATAAATAAACTTCTCCAACACCCATTCCACAGAAGGCAAACCCATCCTTTTTATCTGACTATCTCTGTGTCAGCTCCGGTTATTCTATTAGCAAATTCATTAAATCTGTGAACTAGCAAAGAAAATCTTAAGCGGATATATTGTGCATGCTTAATCAGAAGAAAGCAGTACTGCATTCAATGGGCCTCACGCCCAAGAAGGAGTAGATAGAATAGTTCAATTCCATGCAACGCTTTCTTGGGAGTCACCTGCATTGGACACAAACTCTTAATAAATATGCACAGGATTTTGTTGAGTTGTTAAGCGATCAATTAAAATAGGCATCAAAATAAAAACATAGTTCTGAAAGGGGAAAAGTATTTTTAGATGTATCAAAACCACATGCTTTAGTAGTCATTAACTTTCCTTCTGGTGTGAAAGAGAAGGGAGGATGAAAAGAATGATTGTGATCATGGCCAGCATAAATACAACTCAAATCCCAGTTTTAAATCATTTACTTATATAATTTAAATAAATTATGCCACCTAATAGGACAAGTCTTTGGATCATTCACAAAATAAAGTTTTAAGCACACACACTTGAAATATCATACAACGTAATGTTCAAACCTAAGAAAGGCTTAATGCAGCAACAGAATAAATCAAAAATAAAATTAATCTGAAGGCCTAAAAAAGTCCAGCATTCTGTTTGAGGAGTAGCCAACAAAAGTACAACTGAGAGTTGTAGCTTTGCATGTGTAAACATACATGGGATCCTGCCCTATGTCAGCATTTCTGCAACCTTATTCTCATTGCATTTACCCTCCTCTCCTTCTTGGCCAAACCTCAGTCTTATTAAGGGTGACCACACCTTCATGAAACTCACACCCTCTCACTGCAAGCCTTGAGAGACCTTAAGAGACCCAGCTAATTACTATGGTTCTCTCTTAATAAAGTTGTTGTATATGTGATGTGGTTTGACCTGTAATTGTTTATTTGATCTCGTTTGTGCTGGCCTGTATTCCACTTGTTATTAGGAGTTTTTAAATACATTTAGAAAAATAAAACAGCCAACTCAAAGATTTCCCTAAATCTGATGGTGATTTTAAAATGATTTCTGGTAAATGAAGGATAATATAATAAAGCGTGTGCAGCAAATTGAACCACTCAAACCCTGAACTATGTGCAGTGAAAGGAATGCCTCAAATGTATCTTATTGTGTTGTAAGCCACCCCGAGGCTTCGGCAAGGGGCGGCATAGAAATGTAATAATAATAATAATAATAATAATAATAATAATAATAATAATATCCTCCTTGTAGCAGCGCATGAGGTAAAACATGGCACTTTGCAAATGTTAGAGCACTACAATATTTCCAAAGACTTAACATTTGCTGTTTTGTAAGTCTTTGTATTAAAATATTTTAAAAATTAGTTTCCATCTGATTACTGTACATATCTTTCCAGTTAATGAGATCAGCCTCAGCCTCTGGATTTAACCCAAACCTTTCTAAGCTAGCAGTTTCCTGATATTACAGACTACAATTCCCACCATCCTTAGAAAGCTTGGCCAAATTTATTTTAAAGAACAATGTTATGCCTTGCACCTGTACGTTCAAGCAAATGACCAAGCTGGCTGGGAATGATGGGAGTTGTTTTCTACCACATCTGGAGGGTGTCCAATCAGGGAAGGTGGTGATCCAGCATTTACTAACTCCTTGTTATCTAATTTGGCCTTTTGGTTCTGTTCCTTCTTGGCATTCAGGAGCCTCCACAGACAGGAGCAGTGAATGACCCAGAAAAAACCTTCCCCAAAGAGGTTACAACCTAAATTTAGAAACAATGGCACAAAACAGCTGAAAATTAAGCCCCGCTCCCCAAAAAGTGACCAGCCTGCCAAAAAAAAAAAAAAGTATTCACCCCTTTTTTGAAGAAAACGGAGGTGAGTAAATGCAGTCTAAAAGCACAATAGAATTTGCTTTTAGCGATGAGTTTAATTTCTTCTTAGTTAACCTGGTTTTGTACTGTCTTCATTTCTTCTGGTGCTGGTATAGAAACTGAGCATGGGGCCGAGGGAGGGAGAGATCGCTGTGGCCCCTGTGCCAACTTGTTCACTCAGCTAGAAGGAAAATGCCAGCCTGGAATTCCTGGTCATCTGGTGAGTGGCTGGAATAAATGCAAGACTAGAATAAAAGGCTGCGGCTGAAGAGATGGGGCCAGTGAGTGAGGCGCTACTTTGGAAGGCCCCCTTCACCAGTCTAATGAAAGTCACTCACAGTTTTGCTTTGTTTTTAGCATGCATGTTCGGTTTCCTGCTTCTGTCGCATAAATGGAATCTATTCGCTACTAAAAGCAGCTGATGCTTTTTAATGCCTTCCACATGGTCTTGAGTGAAAGGGATAGCTGGCCTTCCTTTGATCTGGCTAAGAGTAGCAAGAAGTCTGAGAATGTATCTTGCAGGGAACCAAATAAATAAACAGCAACACTCTTTTCCTGGAATGGAAGACAGCAGAGGACTACCAGGCAGCAGCAGACGCGGAGCAAAGGATCCATGACTAGATCTCCCACAAACAGGGGGAAAGGTGATGGGTCCTGAGGAATGCCGGAGGGCCGGACTGAGAAACCAGGAGGGCCAGATTTGGTCCCAGGGGGCCTTTGGTTCCTCTGCCCATTTACGATGCAGTCTACAAAGGGCAGGGTATTTTAAAACCCTGTGCAGAAAAATAGCCAAGCCCTTCGGTACTCTTTACGGAGTATTATATTATTATTGTCAGTGTCAGGGAAGGGAGAGAAGGTGGCCATTTGGGTTGTAAAAATGTAAGATTCCTCTTCAGGGATTGCCTTTATTAAGCCAGGCAAAATATTGCAACTTAACGCGCAAGCTTTCAAGTTCTCCGAGACACTTTCGTCACACAGAAAACAAAGAGGCCGGTGGGGGAATGCAGAGGAGGGAAAAATGCAAAACAGAAACTGGCTGGTGAAGCCATTGTGCCTTTGCTTAGTTACAGTTTTTAAATGCGGTGTGGAGGAGGTTACAAACATTCAGATTAGGCTCTGGGACAGCCTTTCCCAGCCTAGTGCCAGCTCGGGGAGGGTGCGCCACAGTGGCTCCATGCTGCCTCTTGGACTCTTGGGATGAACAAACATTGGCCGAGCTTCCGTTGTGGAAACCATGAAATCCAGCTGTTAGCTAAACCTGTCACAATCCATACACCAACCCACACAGGTTCCTTGGTAGGTGAACAGCATCCTGGATCATAAGAATAAATCTTCAGCAACAAAAACGCACTTTCAAGAGGAGAAGCTAGGACGATTTGATCTCTGGATGTCCTCTTTTTCTCAGTGGGACCTGCTTTTGGAAGAAGAGTGTAGCAGGAATAAATAATAGAAAAG